TACCATATTTTGTGGGGTTCTCTTTCCCTTTTCTTTCTTCTTTCTGAAATATCCACTGGCACTCCTCCCAGTGTTATCAACCTTGGAATGATATATATGTAAGTTCTATTTGTGACGATATATATATATACTATCACAAATCTATGAACTACAAAAGAGTGCACTTTGCGAAACAAACGGTCAAAATACACAGCACAAACATGAAGAGCACACTGAAACCATTCATTTTTATCATTCTTGTTTTAACTACTCTCCCTTCACTATGCGTCTCACATACAAGGCTTGCCACGTTGATGATGAAGTTGAGCACAAGCTGCCTGCATCCCCGTGTGCCAGAACGGCCCACTTGTATGCTGTGAGAAAGAGGCAGAGTAAAGGAGGAGGGGGATAACCACAGAGAAGAGAGATGGAGAGAAGAAAAAAGCGAAGAACAACAAAGGGAAAGTAAGGAGTGTGGAATGATGATGAAGGCAAAGGAAAGGACAAGAAAAGGCTGATGGAAGACCTAGCTGAGCATTCTCAGCACAACAATTGCCACCATGACTGGGCCACGCACCCCGACAAATGGCATGTCGATTGAGGGAAGAACGCTCACCACAAAAGACCATGCATTCAGTATAGCGCCCATGGCCGCAAAATGGACATAACGTGTCCAGATGTGGAGGGTGCCTGCAGTCAGGAACAGAGGGACAATCCTCTTCACATATGGATGCAGAAACCATGTCATTGTAGTGATTATGACAGAGATGATGGCGGCAACAGCTGAGTGTAAGAGTTGGTACATTGTCCTGCTGCATCACGGGGCTAGAGGAATGATCTTCGACATAAAAGTCATTGTGGACAGCTTGGTGTGGCAAGAAAACAGCATCATTATGTAAGAAAAAATCAGTAACATCAGTCATGGCATGGACCATGATGCCGTTGTCCCACAGCTCCCAGTGGTCAGAGGCATGTACAATGGCCGTATAATGGCCAGGTCCGTGCACATATATATGTATTTTGTCTACATAAATTTCCATATATTATTATTCAATTAGATCATTTCTCGCAAATTCTCGGTTTACGTGTGTCATCCTTGGGCAGGGGCCATGCCAATCTTTTCTGTATTGTTTCAATTTTTACGGATGTGCGGAGGGACTAATGATTTTTTTTTGGGGGGGATGTGTCCTGTATTAATTTCATGACCCCTTTGCATTATGTTTAATACATCAAATTATCAAATTTAATATCATCATTGGTGCGCTACAACCATGGCCTTACTGAAATTTCCACGAACGCAGACAATCCATAAGACCCTAGGTTGCTGTGTTTAGGGTTTACGGGTTTAGGCCCTTTAGGGGGTTAGGGGTTTAGGGGTCATGGTTTTGGGGTTTGGACCGTTCGCGTTATTTCAGGGTTCAGTGATGCGACGGGCTGGCTCATGCTTTAGGGCCAAATCATCATGGCAAAAAAAAAAGAAAAAAAAAAGAGAAAAAAAAGAGAAAAAAAAAGAGAGAGGAAAAGAGAGATGCGAGGCACAAGGCCTCGGTATGCCCTACTGGGCCCTGTCATCTGTAAGGTTGGCCGCCCTAAGTGAAGGCAGGCCCAACCTAGCCCTATTTTGGACTACCACGCAACTGGGGAAAATCCAGGCAGTTGCGCAGCAGGCAGGTCACTTCCATTTAGGAAAGTGCCTGCCCCAGCACTCCTCATTCGGGCACTGGCTTCATGCCGCGCAAGCGCTGCTGAGCTAACACTGGCCACCGCTCACGCGCTCACGGGCGAGCTGGATGAGCAGGCAGCCATAGCCGAGCTGGGCTGCTGTATGCTGGATGAGGCGCATGGTGGTCCTTGGGTGCATGTGGCATCTGTGAGTGGGGGGATCGAGGTTGTGAGCGATACGAGAGACATACCTGGTGCTTGAGGCGAGCGGCATTGGCCGAGATCTGCTCATACTTCGGGGAGCTGTTGACGTCACCAGCGGCATTGTAGATTAGGCTAGATAGCATCTGCCATTTGTCGTCTGGGCGCAGAGCGCGAGATAGGATGTCGACATTGGTTCTTTGTTGATGATGATGAGACTATTCCCACATTGTCACTTGTGAGTTTTTGATGTGCTCTTATTTGGTGAAACTTATGTTGCAATTCTGCTTTTGGTTCGAGGTCACGACTATCTGGTCTCATGTGTATGATGCTGCTTGGTTTCTGAAGTTCACTATCACTCATTTTCCTTGCAATCTGGTATCAGAGTTGTGGTACGTTGCGATCATCTGGCGCTTGTCTTCTGTCTATGCGGTACGTGCATGCGGTCTGCTAGGCGAGCGGCCGTAGTGAGTGTGTAGTGAGGAGGGTGAAGGCAAGCAGGCGACCCAGGAGGTGAGGGGTATCGCCAGGAAGGCTACGAGGTGAATGGTGGGTGTTCGCAGTGTGATGAGAACTATCTGATGTGCGATTGATGCTGAGGTGGAACGGCGGTGTAATGCTGGTTGTGCTGAAGCAGCGATTGGTCATCACAATCGGCATCAGGTTATCTGGTGAGAATATTTGTGGTTGGGGGCAGCTATTTTGAGGTACGTTGCACCTAACCTTATCTACCCTCTTCGACACTTCTTACCGTGAGGATGTGTGTTCTGTCTTGAGAGTCCTCTCATGTGAGGAGTCGAGTGCGCTCAACCTTGAGAGTCAGCATTGTTCACGTGGAGCAGCTGGAAGGAGAGGGTGGGGCTATTTGAAGGGCCCTGGATGAAGCACTGGGTCACGGTCACCATGCCAACCCACCGGGAGTAGAGCACGCATGCTTTGCTGCTTTGTCCTTTGTCTGCTTGCTGCGCTAATAGATGGGTTATGAGGGGCAGGCCAACCCTACAGGGGAGACGAGAACCGGGTGTCTATAAATAAACACCGGCGGGGTACCTTCCATTGGCTGTGATCGTCGTCCTATCTGCAACGTTAAAGAATTCCTGGGGACTGTGGGGGGTGTCCTTAAACGCCTCTTGATCAGCCAATCGGTCGTTGTAAGGCTCGCTGCACGCGAGGATAAACAATTTGCAGGGCTGGCCAGCTCAGCATATACTCGGGGCACAGGGGCGGGTCGTGTGCACACCTTTAGACACGCACGCCATTCTGGATCGCACAGGGACGCTGATGTCAAGTGACCATCAAGAGGAATCGAGGGAGGGTTAGATTCCAGGTGATAAGTTCGTGTCAATTCCATTCCGCCAGTATCCGCACAAACGATTCTATTTTTATTCTTGATTAGTTAGATGGACTGCCATTGACATCTAACAGACAACAATAGTTAGATCTGCTCTTTGTTTGTGGACTAATTAAGGAAAAGTAGTTTCGTTTGTAGGAATCTGAACTTACCTGTTGAACCCAAATGTATATTCTCTGACTTAGCCACCGATTGATTATTTTTATTATTTTAAATCGGTCAGTGCACTACGCTGCAGTAGGCATCGAGTGTCACCTAGTGCAGTTTGTGTATAGTTTTGTAGCTTATGAGCGACAGGGAGACCACTAGCGAGGATGACAGGATCTTGCGATCGGCTAGACGCCCTATAGCCCACGTGGCATTAGGACCCGAGGGTGATAGGTTACTGTTCTGCCAGCTTAGGGAGAGACAGCAGCAGCAGCGGAGAGCTACGGCAGCAGAGGCCAGCAGGGCGTTCACAAGCGAAGCCGCTGCTTCAGCAGCCATGGCAACTGTTGTGCAACAAAGTTCCCAGACCAGCAGTTCAGGGTCCGTAGGGTCAGCGATTGCACAGACCCTGAGTCAGTCCACTGGCCTTATGGCAAGTCAACCAATAGTGTTGACTCCTGAAGAGGTCGCCATACAGCAAGCAGCTCTTCTCGAGGCACAACTACAGAAGGCTTTAGGGGAGATAAAAACAGAGAAAGAGAAGATGATTAGAAGAAGAGCCAGGATGCAGCGGAGATAAGCGGATATTAGTGAGTTAGAGGCGATGGACCTGACAAAGATGGATGATGATGTGAAGACCCTGAGGACGGTCTTGCTAGGTGTAGTAGAGATGCAGGATCACCAAATGGCCCTCTTACAGGACATCCAGCAGAGCCTGGCCGTGCTCAGGCGGCGCCATCACCATCAGGGCCTGGTGCCTGGCCCGTGATACAGCCTCCTCCTTTTGTCCCACCGGTGATTGGGGTATCCCCATATGCCTCTCCAGCATCGGTCCAAGCCGTTTCCCTAGGTATGCCGCTAACAGGAGGGTTCTCAGCAGGTCCTAGTGTGCAGGTTCCCGTACAGACAGTGTATTCCCAACCTCCGTCGCAGGTTGTCGTAACTGGGCAGCCTGCTGTCTCGCAGTCTGCACAACAACAGTTAGTGCAGCAGCCTACGCCCCAGGGTCTACAACCCGGAGTGGGACAGGTACCGGGACAAGGTCAGTGGGTCCCAAAGACGGCCATCGCCTCGCTTAAACCCTTTTCAGGGGATAAGAGGGGCGAAGACCTCGACACATGGTTGATGTCAGTGCCAGTCTACGTCAAGTGCAAGTTGACCTTGCCGCACGAGGAAGTGCTTGTGGCTGCCTCCTACCTTGAGGGGAGTGCAGCTAGATGGTTAAGCGGGCTAGTGCAACTTCAGGGGTACGGTCATGACTTCCATGCTTGGGCAGTCAACCAGAAACTGAAGGACTTCCTTAAGCTGGTGGAGGAAAGATGGCATGATCCTCAGGAGGCCCAAAAGGCCACTGACGCGATCCTGACTCTGAGCAATAGACCGTTCAAGTCAGTTAGGGATGCCACAAATGCGGTAGAGCGTCTGATCTGCGTTCCTGGAGTTCGTTACGACCCCCAGGTCTTACTCACTACTTATCTGAGGTGTTTTCCCATGCCCCTCAGAAATGAGTTGGTGAATGAGGCAAACATCAATGTGCACAACTTTCCCTTGTTTAGCAAGAAGGCCCTAGACCTGGATGCAAAGATAGGGCATGTGCACCAACCCACTACGAATGGTAGGAAGAAAGCACTGCCTCCCAACTGGAAGGCGAAGGGTCGTATTATGTTTGTCGACAACGATGGTTCCACCATCGAGTTGGATGATGACTTCCAGGAGGGAGTAGGTTCAGAGGTGGGCAGTGTAGAAGCTTCAGGGGGTGGAGCAGTCGCTGCCTCAGTACAACAAGGCAAGGCGACCGGTAGATGTCGTGGAGGTTCCCGGTCTAGGAGTCAAGTTGACCCTAACGCTCTTCCATAGGAGAAAGCGGGTCTTACAAAGGACGTGTGGAGAGACTGGCATCCCAGACAGGCCTGTATTCGTTGTGGTAAATATGGCCATAACCAATTCAAGTGCCACAACAAGAAGGTGACCGAGAAGATCCCACCTACGATGGGGCAAGCGTTGGGATCCTCCGCTCCCGTAGGTACAAATGTGGCCAGCAGTTCCGGCACTGCTCCGGGAAACACGTCGGGCCAGTAGGAATAGCAGTTGTTTCCGCCAGGGTCGAGGTGGTGGACACACCCTCACCATCTCGAGAGATGGCCCAAGCTACTGACTCCATCGTCGTCCCACAAACACATTCGGACCCAGCGATCCTCTGTTCGCTGAATGTGTTTGAGTCCTTAGAGGAGCTAGAGGAGGAGTGGTCTAGATCGGACCCGCTAGCTTCTTGGACGTCCATGGCCAAAGCCCCTAAGGGTGAGTTGTTCGTCGGCGAGGTAGTCATCGGTGACCGTAAGGCCAGGGCCTATTATGACACTTGCTCGACGCGGAACTTCATCAGTCGCGTGTGCGTTGAGAGGCTGCATTGACAGGGGCAAGTGCAGCGCCTGAGTTGACCTGTGGAGTCGACCTGTACCAACAAACAGCGCATGGTAGTCAACGACTACCTTAAAGACATTGAGTGTCTTTTCCCGTACGCGGAAGGGGAACTGAGACATCGAGTCTAATTCGTAGTCAGTGATGATCTCCCTATGGATATCTTGTTAGGTATGTATTACCTCTCGGTTGCACAGCCCCAGTTTCACTGGGACCGAAAAGTGGTCGAACACACTTTGCCCGAAGGGAGGACCGCCAAATTACGTAAGTTTAAACTGATCGAGTCCTACGGATGCATGTGTGTGGCCGCGTTTTATAATTATTATAAGCAAAATCCGGAGGAGGGTATGTACTTAGTTTATGTCTCTGCAGCGGGGGAGCCGGTGAAAATGCCGCCGGAGATAGAGGGAGTGGTCGCTAAGTACCCTGATCTATTTGAAGAGCCGAAAGGGGTTGTTGAGAGGGAGGTCGTCCACGCGATAGAGATTATCCCAAGGTCTGGCATTCCGAAGGGTAGGATCTATCGGATGTCTCCAGGCGAGCTGGATGAGCTTCGTCGGTAGCTCAAGGAACTAGTAGAGAAGGGTTGGATCCGACCGAGTGTCTCCCCTTACGGATCTCCAGTCTTATTCGTGCCGAAGAAGGGGGAAACTTTGAGGATGTGCATTGACTATAGGGGCCTCAATGCCATCACTGTCAAGAACCGAGAGCCCCTACCGCGCATCAATGACTTGTTGGACCGAGTGCAAGGGTGTCGGTACTTCAGTAAGATAGATCTGAAGTCCGGGTACCATCAGATTGCAATACGGCTTGAGGATCAACACAAAACCGCTTTTCAAACCAGGTACGGTCTGTACGAGTTTGTGGTGATGCCTTTCAGCCTTTGCAATGCTCCTGGCACCTTTTAGCACGCAATGAACCGGATCTTCCATGACTACCTGGACAAGTTTGTCATCGTGTACCTCGACATACTTATCTTCAGTAGGACTGTCGAGGAGCACGTTGGTCACTTAGACAAAGTCCTTGGTCTCCTTCGACAACACAAGTTCAAGATTAACGATGAGAAGTGCGAGTTTGGCCGCACTCGTATCTTGTACTTAGGTCATGAGATTTCCGTAGAGGGATTGAAGCCCGATGACGCGAAGGTGGCCAGCATTCGTGACTGGCCGCGGCCTCAGTCTGTGACTGAGATGAGGTCCTTCTTGGGGATGACCGGCTACTACCGCAACTTTGTCAAGAACTATTGTATAGTGGCCGCCCCTTTGACGGACCTGACTCGCCTTGACACCCCATGGGAGTGGACAAACAGGTGTGAGGCTGCTTTCAGATACCTGAAGCATGCTCTGACACACCATGAGGTCTTGAAGCTTCCCGATCCCGACAAGCCGTTTATAGTCACCACGGATGCTAGCCAATATGGCATAGGCGTCGTGCTCGCGCAGCAGGAGGGACCAAAGTTGAGGTCTGTCGAGTACATGTGCAAAAAGATGCCCTGTCAGAAGTTGGCTAAGTCCATCTATGAGAAGGATCTCTATGTGATCTATAAAGTGCTAACCCATTGGAGACATTACCTTCTTGGGCAGTTTTTCTACGTCAGGACTGATCATCAGACCCTGAAGTGGATGAGAACCCAGCTTGTGCTCTCCGATGCGCTAAAACGTTGGATCAAAGTCATTGAGCAGTATGACTTCGAGCCCCAGTACATCAAAGGTGAGTACAACAAAGTTGCTGATGCGCTGTCGCGTAGGCCAGATTTCTCCGGTGCGCTGATCACTGAGTTTGGGCTTGCGGACGATGTTACTCGCTCTTTGGTGGAAGCCTATTGCGAGGATCCGTTTATGGCTGAGATCATACGCAGACTCGAGACGAAGGACAACACAACTTCTGCTGAGTTTAAGTTGGTCAACGGCCTATTGTTCCTTGAGAAGGCTGGGAATAAACGTCTGTGTGTGCCTAACCGTGAGTCTTTGCGTAGTTTATTCTTAGGCGAGTGTCATGATCCCACATGACATTTTGGGTATTAGAAGACCGCGGCGAATTTGGTGCAGCAGTTCTGGTGGCCCACGGTGATGAGAGATGCCAAGCTGCACTTGGAGACTTGTCAAGTATGTCAGAGGGACAAGCTACATACACAGGCCCCTCTTGGGTTTCTAAAGCCCCTTCCGATTCCGGAAAGGCCTGGTGAGAGCCTGTCCATGGACTTCATCGACACACTGGTCACCAACAAGAGTGGAATGAGACACATCTTTGTCATTGTGGATAGATTTAGTAAGTACGCTAGATTAGTTGCGATGCCTGAAACAGCGAAGACCGAGTACGTCATTCAGATGTTCAAGGAGGTCAGAGACTTTGGGCTACCGAAGTCTATTGTAAGTGACCGGGATGTCAGATTCACGAGTGAGTTGTGGAAAGCTGCAGCTGCAGAACAAGGTACACAGCTGCAGATGACATCCGGGAAACACCCAGAGGCAAACGGGCAGGCAGAACAGCTGAACCGCGCTGTACAGCACCTGTTAAGGCACTACATCAAGCCCAACCAGGTGGACTGGGATGAGAAGCTTGCTCTCATCGCCAGCCTGTACAACAATGCTGTGCACAGCGCAACAGGGGTAAGTCCAAACAGTTTGCTACTGACATTCAAGCCTCGATTGCCTCTAGACTTTCTACTACCTGAGAATCAGCCAACAGCTGCACCTGGTACATTAGAATTTGCATATCGATATCAGCAGCTGATGCAGCACGCTGTAGAACAGATGCACAAGGCGCAGGCGGCGATGATAGAATCTGAGAACAAGCACCGCCGCCCATCTACATTCCAGGTAGGGGACAGAGTCTGGGTCAAGTCCTCAGAACTGGGACAAGAGCACGGGATATCCCTCAAGCTGATGCCACAGTACTTTGGACCCTGGGAGGTTCTAGATATTGTCGGGGATGATCTGGATGGGCCGTCATATGTAGTTCAGATCCCTGGTCACCTTCGTACTTACCCAGTCTTTCACGCCTCCAAGCTTGCACCTTTCAAAGAAACTCATCAGTTTCCCTGACGACGCTCAATGCTGCCCCCAACCATGGATGGAGAGGTCGACATCAATGACATTGTGGATCACAGGGAAATGCCAGTTCCAAGACCTACAGGCAGGGGTCGTCCTCCAAAACCGAAGCTGCAGTATCGTGTTCGGTTCAGACATCACACTGATCCTAAGGAGGATAGATGGTTTACACGGGAGGAACTGATGCAGACCGCTCCACAGGTTGTCGCCCACTATGAGAAGTTGCTGCAGAAAGGAAAGCACCAGATTGATTAAAGGGAACTTCTCAGAGGACTTTCGAAGTATGGAGGAGGGAATGTGAGGCACAAGGCCTCGGTATGCCCTACTGGGCCCTGTCGTCTGTAAGGCGGCCGCCCTAAGTGAAGGCAGGCCCGACCTAGGCCTATTTTGGACTACCATGCAACTGGGGAAAATCCAGGCAGTTGCGCAGCAGGCAGGTCACTTACATTTAGGAAAGTGCCTGCCCCAGCACTCCTCATTCGGGCACTGGCTGCATGCTGCGCAAGCGCTGCTGCAATAACGCTGGCCAACGCTCACGCGCTCACGGGCGAGCTGGATGGGCAGGCAGCCATAGCCGAGCTGCGCTGCTGTATGCTGGATGAGGCGCATGGTGGTCCTTGGGTGGATGTGGCATCTGTGAGTGGGGGGATCGAGGTTGTGAGTGATACGAGAGACATACCTGGTGCTTGAGGCGAACGGCATTGGCCGAGATCTGCTCGTACTTCGGGGAGCTGTTGACTTCACCAGCGGCATTGTAGATTAGGCTAGATAGGATCTGCCATTTGTAGTCTGGGCGCAGAGCGCCAGATAGGATGTTGACATTGGTTCTTTGTTGATGATGATGAGACTATTCCAACATTGTCACTTATGAGCTTTTGATGTGCTCTTATTTGGTGAAACTCGTGTTGCAATTCTGCTTTTGGTTCGAGGTCACGACTATCTGGTCTCATGCGTATGATGCTGCTTGGTTTCTGAAGTTCACTATCGCTCATTTTCCTTGCAGAGAGAGAGAAAAAAAGAAATCATGATTTGGAAGTTGGATCCTCCTCTAGAAGGTTCCATGACACATATCTGTGACCTCAGCATTTTTTTTTATTTTTTTTTTCCTATGTACATTACCACACAGCCCCTTCTATCAGCATTTTTGACACACTTGCATTTTGTGAGATATGCAGCAAGGCCGCAGATAAGAACAGAAGTGAAAGGGCGCGTAGTGAAAGGTCTGCCAAAAAGCCCAACAAAAAATTTGCTCCCCACTAACCCCCATACCCACCAATCCCCACAAGGCTTGTGCTGGATAACATGGAGAATGAACCTGGTCCACTTATGCGGGGCAGGTGCCTCCTAATCAATTCACTTGTAGGCTCAGTTTGGGCTCAGCATGTGGTCACCAGTTAGCTTTCTTGATCTCTCGGACTCTCTCCCCCCATTCTATCTTTTGTGTCCTGTGCTAGATTGGCATGCACTGCCTTGCTCCTCCCCTTGAACCAAATAAATGCTAAATCTTTTGAGTCTTTTGACTGATGTATTACACCACCACCACGCTACTTCAGTGCGTATTTCCCAGCCCTTTGCATAATACTGTGTCAGACTGTCAGTTTGTTTGTTTTGTTCGGTTTGGTGTGGTGTGGTTTGGCTCAGTGTAGTTCAGTGTGGGATTCAGTTGGCTTGGCTTTGGTTTGGCCTCTCGTTTCGCTTATCTAGGTTGGGTTTGTCCTTGGCTTCGATTGGGTTGGGTTGGAAACTGGAATTGGTTTGACAGTTTGACTCTGTTTTTTTTTTGGTTTTGCTTTGAGTTTTTCCTTCAGTTATTTTCACTTGGTTGGGGTTGTTTTCATTCTGTTTTTAGTTTTTTCCATTTTGTTTTGTTTTCCGCTCTGTTTTTTGTTTTTGTTTTTGATTCCTCTCTCTCTCTCTCTCTCTCTCTCTCTCTCTCTCTCTCTCTCTCTCTCTCTCTCTCTCTCTCTCTCTCTCTCTCTCTCACGCGCGTGCGCGCAAACATAAGTTGAGATCAATCTTTATCTGCTGAAATACAGGATGCTTCGGAAAAAAAACAAGGATTTGCTAGAAAAAAAAGAGATGATCTTCATAAATTAGCTGAATCAAATTGTAGCTTTTATCATTATCGTTGGTGGTAAGAATGTACATATTGTGATGACCCGACCAAACATGAACTGAAACACACAGCTGATTTCTGAGTTTTGCTCATAGACTGAATGGCTTGCTGAATTTCCCGCTTGATACTAAGTTCTCTAAGTCTGTGTGTATGCATGCTTGCTGGACTGCATGTCTGTCTGAGTGCTGGTTGGCTTGAGTGTGTGTGGCCCGCAAGGGCACTTGTTTGTTCGTTGGGCCCTCAGGGCCGGTACTTACCTGTGGCCGTGACATTGAGGGATTGCAGCGGGGGAAAACACTCAAGTAGCAGGTAGGCGGGTACTGCACCCCGAAGAGGTAGATGTGTGGGTACTGGAGGCCGAGCAGAAAAAGACAAAAGTGGCATTTCGAAGAGGCCCAGTAGTTGTAGGCTAGGTCTAGACGGGTACCAGTCCAACCAGTCTGAGTCTAGGGCCTGTACGAGCAATATCAGAGTCTCCAATGATGTTTCCCTCCGAAAGGGAGGAGGTACCGGTTGCCTGGGAAGGCCGAGCGGCCTGGAAGTCACCGCCCAAGAGGCAAGCAGGCCGCTATATCTCCCAGCCGACCGAACAGCCCAGCCTCATTGTCGGTGTGCAAGTTTGGCGACACACTGGTTGGAGCGCTGGCTGGAGCAGCGCTAGCTTGGAGCAGCGCTGCTGGGGAAGAAGCAAGGACTCAGAGGAGGAAGAAGGACAGGAAGGGGGAGGAGCGCCAGAGGTACTTACCTGGCAATGGTGGCAGCCATCTTCATCACCTTGGTGGGCGCTGCAGCAGGAAGGCCCCAGCTGGGGTTGAGCCACGCCAAGAAGCTTCGAGGCAGAGTCAGGCATGGCGGCCTGAGCCAGAGCAGCCATAGCTGCTTTGGGTTGTCCTTTGGGCATCTGGGCAAGGCCTAGTAGTCCGCCGTAGCCTCGGCCTATGAGAGTGACGAGTGGGAGAGGCGGTGTTACATGCACAGATATGTGATGTTTGTAATAACCGAGGAACTGCAATGTGACGAAAAGGACTGAAATGGACAATGCGGTGAGAGTAGAATCTCGACAGACAATGTGCATTCTCGTACATACAAAAGTGYTGAATAGCGCAGGGAAGACTTAGATACAAAGACTGACCTGACAAGGACTGACCTTACACACGTAGTAGCAAGTAGCGAAACAGACTGCTAGAATGTTGATAACTAGTCCAACCGATGGTTGAACTCAGACCAAACATGCATCGTACCCCTCACCAGGTATGAAGGAACCTGGCGCTGCGCACAGGAAGAAAGCGCCAGGTCCAGACATGCATAGACGAAGAGGTAAGGATCAGACGAAAGGAGGGAGGAAGATGGGAGTGTCGTTAACACCAAGTCTTTGTCACCGATCCCAAATAACCCCTCGTTGCCATGTCTGAATCCCAAAAAGTCGAGTCTTGGATCCGATATCACCAAGCTCGGTATCTCTTCTCTCGCAGTCTGCAAATGCAGTGAAGTCAAGGGTTGAGAGGGAGAGAAGGAGATGGTGGACTGAGAAGAAGAGGAAGAAGAACTCTCTCTCTCTCACTGTTACGAACCAGATACTAACCTGTGATGTGGCGYTGTGCTGCAGGTACCTTGAAGACGAAGCTGGAGCAACGGCGCTGCAGGTAGGTACCCCTGGCCTCCGCCCAAGCTCTCTCTCTCTCTACCACTATCCTAGCTATGGCGCCCAGCGCCGAAGGCTACTAGCTAACGCTACCACTACTATAACGCAGCGCTCCCTCCAGAGGGCTGCTCCCAAATCCTGAAGACTACAACTGCCGACTGCCTCCCTCCTGTAGGGCGGGCCAGTCCTTTATAGTGCTGGCCCGTGCAGGAGGCTGGTCGTGCCAATGCCCTAAGCGCAGGAGGCCGCTCTTGCCAATGCCTCCCTGGCCTAGACCCTGCGGAAGCTTCCAGGCAAGAGCCTGGAAGTTTCCCTGTAGGGAAACAGGCTGGGGCCTGTAGGCCTTGTCAGAAGGAAGCTTCCAGGCAAGAGCCTGGAAGTTTCCCTGTAGGGAAACAGGCTGGGGCCTGTAGGCCCTGTCAGAAG